GCGTATATAATAAAATATGTCTAGTGGCTGTAATGCCAGTGTACTCGGTAAAGTGATTCTAAAAAAGAACACACCTACACCCTAAATATTTTGTGTTGGTATCATGTGACGTCACAGGCTATGACGCCGATGACGTGCATCGTTATATAAATTAATAAGTGTATGATTGTTATCAAATTCAAGAGAAAACAACAATCATAGATCACAACACGAAACAAAAATCAAATAATGTGGAACATATAAAGAAAGACATTAAGATGGAATGTCCGTATGAGTGATACGGACTATTGTATTTATCAGCTACTTCTATACTGGTTTTTAGGTTTCATCTTGTTTTTGATATCGTTTGATTTATTCTTCCTTTCCACATTTATACCAAAATATTTTGAGCTGTATCATAATAAATGATTTAACGACAAAACATTACCTCAACTATACATGTTATTCAATAATTTCAATATATTTGTTTTAATTTCGTATTAGAATATAACCGTACAACCTAAACAACTTATGGAAGTCAGTATGTTGTGTGTATGTATGTTTTTTTTTATTTTTTACTAATTTTCGTTGTTTGTGTTTTTTTTTATTTCAAGCTGCAGCAGATGTTTTGTGCCAAAAATTCATTAATTTGTAAAGGTAGGTTTTAGATATTTTTTGCAAGTTTTCTGTAACAAAAATAGCATGTCAACTTTAATTAAGATGTATATAAAAGTTTGGCAGATGGTTTTCCGACTTAGTTTTTGGCAACGTGCCGTTCTCAAGATAAATGGAGACATACTTAATCATGTTTTAACAATACTATTATTTGATATGCTGTAAAATTGGACGGAATATATTTTTAGCAAATTGTAACGCACACAAATGTGTATTTTGAAAGAATAAATAATATAATCACATTACTATTACCACAAACTTCACTGTATAATATTTATAACACATGTAAGTTATTGGATGTATTATTGCAACTTTTTCAGACCTACATGTAGCCTAAATCGTCCAAAAATTCTTAATAGTGGTGTTTCATTCCCATATTCGTCTTTCATTCCAATATTCAAAAGTGAGTTTAAATGGCGGTATCTCAATTTTAGAATATCGTAAAGCCAACACTTTACCTATAAGTAAAATCATTTTACCGAGTTTTATTTCTAGGTTTGATTCCAATATATCCAATATTACCTTTATTAATTTTTCTTTTCCTCCTGTATCAAATCTTAATTTGACCTCTAGTTTCTAACTTGGCTTTATATTCTATATAGTCAGTTTCAGCTTACAAGCGAAGCAGTAACATATCCAGAAGATGCCAGCCCCTAGTGTTGACGAAACGTCGAGAACTAATCTCAGTAGACAACGGCCTAACAGCCCGAACAAACAGTTTATATGCTTTATTTTTAAGCTCCATTCAAGTTAGTTTTTCTTTGTTGTGCTAATATCCTCTTTTTATTTTTTTATATAGTGTCATTTTTTCCTTTATTTAGACAAGACAAAAACTTCGGCTTCATTGGAAAATATTTCCATGGAGTTTTTTTGCATAATCACCTTCTTAAGACACCCCAAAAAAATGATCAAGAGTTGCAATCAACTTGCATAATATCAAACTTGCAAATATAAAACATTTCACCCCGTAGAATTTATATTATATAGTGCATTCATAAAGGTACAAGGTTTGGTACGGTGGTACTACGAAAAATATGGGCTTTTAATTTTTTAGATAGAAATCTGCCCTTTCTATTAAAAAAAAATGTCTTTGAAGTCACATCTGCTAAGATAGTGGGAGTAAAAGTTTTTTTTTTCCAAAAAGGTTAAAAAACAGAAATAAAAATCGAATTGTCACAGTTTTAACTCTGAAAATAATTAAGTCACGAGATAATTGACTGTTTCCACACTTTATGAATACACTGTATAGTTTTTGTTCATTTTGAATGAAAAACGTAACGTTTCTCGGAAATTTGACATTTTTCGAGTTATAAATTACCTATTTTACCCTTTCAATGGAAATTTTGATATTAAATGTTGCTGCTGTTTTATTGTATCAATCAGTAGATGTTCGTTTTCTCAGTAAGCGCAACGTATAAATTAAATATTTTTTTATTTCAATACAATATGGGCTGAGATATATGGATTCCAAAAGTGTCAAGGTGTGGATAAATATATCCCGATATTTAATTCATTATATTACCGATATTTAATTCACATGTGTAACTTATGTTGATTTATATGTGATAAGAAGTGAAGCAGGTAATGCAAAGTGAATTAATATTTTTTGACATTTATTTGGAGTCATTGTATTTCTGTCTACTGCTGTTAATCTCTGAGTCAGTTGATTAAAATTTGATATATTGAATATTTTGGTGATTAGTTTCACAGTAAACTCTCTCACTTCAGTCCTGATCCCCCGGATGGAATGGTGTGGTCATCGTGATGTCGTGTATTATCTGTCTCTAAAGATCTTTTCTGATCATTTCTTTTAATTCATGAATGGGTCTTTGCACATTTCTGTAATTTGCTCGATCTATTTTATTGGAGATCTTTTTAGTGATATTCGGCCATCTACCATTCCTTGGTTAATAAGTCTTCATGTTTTCTGTGTCTGCTCTCATAACATATTAAAATTATTTTAATTGTTGGGAATGGACTTTGCTTTAGAGCCGTTTGCTGACCTTTAGTTCATTTAAAATTGTTGAATTATTTGTCCGGTAATCGGTCCACGGAATTCGTAACATTCTTCTCCAACAGAACATTTTTATGTAGTCTATCCACTATTATGATCTTTGTCTTTGATATGTTTAACTGCAGACCAAATATTTGACTTTCGTGTTCAACCAGTCTTATGAGATCATTAAATTCTTCTTGACTATTGGCAAGAAAGGCTATGTCATCTGCAAAACGTAGGTTGTTTATTTTTCGGCCATTTATTGAGATGCCCTTTTCCCCATCCTTCAAGCGCTCTTCTCATAATATGTTGCCCATATATATTAAATAATTGTTGAGACAGTCTTGTCTGATACCTTGTTCTGGATGGAATTCGTTTGAGAGTGTGTCAAGCACTTTAACTCTTCCACTAGTGTGTAAGAGATAGTTCTTTAATTGTCGAATTTATGGAAGCTGCCTTTTTGTTGTATTGACGTTATTGTAGATTTTCTCCAGTAGTCAGGCCATGGCCAGGCTTGGAATGCCATATTTTGTTACAGAGCAAGTGAAGCAATTTTATTCCGGTTTCTTCTGTGGCTTTGAACATTGTTGATATCATATCTGGACCTGGGGCTTTGTTACACTTGAGTTCTACTGATTGCAGTCTTGTTTTATTCTCGAGTACATTAGGTTCTTCTTCGATTTCTTTAGGGTTTGGTGAACAAGTTCCTGGCGTTGATCATCTTTATAAAGATCCCGGCAATATAATCGCCATGTCTCTGCTATATCTTCTCTGTTGGTTCTCAGGGTGTCTGTATAGTCTTCAACGGTCCAATTTCTGGCTTTAAAGTCGCTTGGTATGTAGCGTATTTTTCTAAATAGATTTCTCGGCTGATTGTTTTGATCATGACTCTCAATTTCTTTACATATATTGTGATAATATTGTTGTTTATCAGCCTTGCGCCTTCGCTCTATTTCTTTGTTGAGGTTTCTTAAACTTGCTTTTTTCGTTTCACTATGTACACCACTTTGACAAATATTTCTTCTATTCTCAATGATTTTAAGGGTTTCATTTGTTATCCAGAGTTTCTGTTTCACATGATTATTTAGCCTTCGGCGATTAATTGGTATTGTTACACAATGTTTAATAGTCTCACATATTTCTTGTGATGTACCCTTACGAATAGAGGGCATACTTTTTTTGCATTTCTTGAAGAGGTTCATCTTTCTTTCGTAGTTCTATCCTCTTTGTCTCTCTCCGTTTTTTGGGCGCTTTAAGTTTGAGCTTTACTTTAGCTACGAGGAGAGTATGATCTGAACCACATATCGCCCCTTATATGATCTGACTATTTGGATTGAAGATCTCCAGCGAATATTAGTGAGGATGTAATGAATTTGATTTCTAGACCCACCTCCAGGACTTTTCCAAGTACAAAGACGGCGTACATGGTGTTTAAATCTAGTATTCATAATAGAATAGTTATTTGTGATTGCAAACCCGATTAAGCGGTGTCCCTTTGTTTCACTGACCTATGCTGAACTTTCCCAGTACATTCTTTAGGTCACCATTTTGTGTAGTGTGACTTTTGCGTTAGAGTCGCCTCATATTAAGGTTAGCCATGTTTTTGGAATGTTGGCAATTGACCCTGTAATTGTCCCAATGAATCCCAAAATAGTAATCTTCACCTGTGTTATTAAGGATTGAAAATGACCACTTTGGGCATTTTCAAACTTAAGTCGAAAATTATAAGTTCAAAGAAAAAGCTATTCTGGACGTTTTCTGTTGAAAATGGACCAAAGTTCGAAAAAAAAATTCCCGGAGCGAAAAGCTGCTTTTCCATTTTGTTGAAGACAATTTTTAAACAAATTCCGACCACTTCGAACTTGGGCGACATTATTATTCTTTATTACAAGGATCTTATTCCTGATTTGAATCTTATCAAGAGGAAGGCACGCATTTGAATATAGTTGACAGCAGTGTATTCTTACAGTGTACTCTTACAAAAGGTACTGGCGTTTTTTTTGGAAAACTTAGCCTATACTGCCAGACTTTAATATTCAAACACAGCCTAAAGCTAATAGCTATCCACTAAAGCTAATAAGAGGCGGTGGATTTATATAATATATATATATATATATATATATATATATATATATATATATATATATATATATATATATATATATTATATATATTACTATTAATTAGGAAACCATTAGTCAAATTTTTATAAATTTTATTATTTACTGTAATGTGGTTGTCAAAGTTGTATTATTTCTTGTTAAGAAAATTGTGTATATCAATTATAAACGTAACAACTTTGAAGCCACGCCCAAGTTAGTACTAGTTTAACAAATTAAACTGTTTTCAGATGAATCGAAGGACGAAAACCTCAATTTAGCAGATCTAGATTTAAAAAAATTAAAACTGTCCGATGAAGACGCTTTGGCACTATCATTTCTAACGCCCGGCCTTTCAAAACGTATCCAAAAGCAGCTGCTTGCCCAACTAGCTCCGTCTGAGGCTCGAAAATTGCACAGAACAATGTCTTCATGCACGTCGGAAGAAAACAAAAATAGTCTAAATGGTAGATCCACTCTACCCAGGAGATACTCCGTTGAAAATAACGCATTAAGAGAAAACGTAGACGCTATTAAAGAAACAAAAGTACAGCGGTCTTTCCTTCCCGTTAAAAGAGATGAGTATAGACCTTCAGAATTTAGTATTAGATCATCTAGCATAGGTGCTGAGCCTAGATGCGATAATAGATTCCTTAGAAAACCTAGAGTAACCAACTCTGCATCTTTACGGGAACCTAGAATGTACGGCTCGAAGAGTGATCTACAAAGCCCAGATTCCAGTATCTCAGAAAGTATTTCTACTTCTTACAAAAATGACAGTTCAAAGTGTATCTCGGATTCGTCAGTGTCTAGACCTTACTCGAAATATTCTTCAGAATCTTTGTATAGTAGATATTCACCGAATAAATCCTTGGAAGCCATGGATTCTAAGACTGATTTACAAAAACCGTCCTCTTCTAAGAAGATTTCTAGATTTTTAAGGCCAGATTTCTTCGATGGACCCAAAGATGAAAATATTTATCTAAGAGACAAAAAGGAGCGTGAAATGGAGACACAGAAAGTCCTGAAAGAGATCAGAGATAAAAGGAAAGGTAGATTATATTCAAAGAGGGAAGGTTCGATCACGAAAGATAAATCTGAAGACGAGTCTGTTAGAGAGACTGATAACATATTAGATAAGGTATCTGATAGTATTAAAAATTTGGAAAATGCTAACAATAATAATATTATTCACGATTATGTTAATGTTACCGGTGCTACTCCAAACTGTGATTTATTAAATGATAATGGAACTGACAAAACAGATAATGATAAAATTGTACATGACTACGTTAATGTTAAGACATCTAAGACACCTTTAAAAAAAGATAAGCCGTCTAGAATTGCAAGACCCAAGAGTTTTCCTATAGAAAATATTGTAAAAGAAAGCACTAAGGAAACGGTTACAAAAAACAACACTAAAGAAAACGGTAAAGAAAATGGTAAAGAAAAAGCTTCTCCTGAAAAGGAATCAAAATTAAGCCGGTTAAGAAAGGGTTTCAGCAAAAAAGAAAAAACAAAAGAAGACAAAAATGAGACCAATAAAAGTATAAACGAAGAAGATAAAGTACAGAAAAACAAATTATTGCTTTCTTTGGAGAAGAAATTCGAAAAGTTTAGAGCCTCTAAAGATTCCCAAGTTGCACCAGAAAAAAAATCTGCAGTTGAAAGTACTATCAAAAGATTGCGTGAACAGAGTTTACCTCGAAATTTAGAACATTGCACTGAATCAGGTTTGATAAAGAGAGCTGTATCAGTTGAAGATTTATCTGGTAGTAAACCTTTGCAAGCTTCAAGAAAATCTGTCACAAAAATCTTGGGACTCTTTAAAAAATATGAGGAACAAGAAAAGAAAAAGACAGTAAAGAAACAAAAAAATAAAAACGACAAAAAAGATACTGAAAATCATAAAGACACTGTGATTAATAACGATCAAACTCAAAACGTCAATTCAAATAGTGATACTAGTCAAGTTGACAGTAAAAAGGAACGGCCTAAATCTCTTTTAATTGACAAAATGAAACAGTTCCAGAACGGTACCACTAATAAAGAAACTAAACCAAAGTCTAAACTTCCCGTTAATTCTTACAGGCGTAGCTTAAATTTGGATAATATGTCTGACGCCATTAACAATAACAGTAACAGTAACGTCGAAAAACCTGACAGAAGAAACCTAAAGCTCGATTTTACCAAAATACAAAGTAGAAGTGAACCCGTTGTGATCAAAGAACCTGTTCCTAGTACCAGCACACACGATGACAATTTCAACGAGAATAGAAACTCTCTAGCGATGACAGATGATAGTTCGACTGTACTATCACCTTCTGATGACTACCAGAGCTGTGATTCATGGTCGGTAATGTCAGAATATCCGAATCTTAACGAGTTACATTCACCTATATCTCCTAATGGATATTTGTATTCAGGAGACGAGAATGAGTCTGTGATCGATAGAATTAGAAGGAAGAGTTTCTACACTAGGTTCAACGAGAAGAAGAAAATGAGAAAACCAAATAATTATAATTTAGATTATGGATATAAAAGTCCTACGGATTATAGTTCCCTAGATAGGAAGAATTATGACTACAGATCATCTTCTATTACTCGTAGGTAAGTGTCAGATTATTTTATATCGTTCAAATTTTTACCCAATCATAATTTAATGTTAAATCATAATTAAACCACTCTGCTTCACGCAGAATCAATGAACTGATTTGATGTTCAAATAATGTACAGACATTACTAAATTGGGAAAGTTTACAAAACATAAATACCCTTATTTTACTATGAGATATATACGAAAGGAATATATAGTTATTTGCTGATTATGTTGGTGGATCAGAATTGCCATGAACTTGTTACTTCTATTATTATTTTACTTGTACATTTTAATCTTCTTCTAGTTCCATGTCCTGTATCGATATCATGTGCTACCATATTAGTTATCGTGACAGCAGCTCTTAATAATGATGTAGTCGATTTTTCGTACCATTGTCTTAGATTTAGCAGTCATACTATTCTTCCTCCAGGATCACGTTTATCTTGGATCTTTCCCTGAGGGATAAGATGCAAGCGTTTAAGCTTCGCCTCAGAGTCCACGCTTCCACTTCATACAGTAGCACTGAAAAGATATAGCAATATGTCATTCGAACGCAAAGGTCAATACTAAGATCGTGGCTGCAATGTACGTAACTCTTTTTGACAAATGTAGCTCGGGCTTGTTCTATTCGGCTTTTAATTTCTACGGTTGGATCCCAGCTCTGATTGATATTACTTCCGAGATACATGAGTTTCTCCACTCTGTCCAGTACGGTATCTCTGACTTTTATTCCGTCATCCTGTATATAATTTTGTTTTATATATTTTCGTTTTCTTAACGTGTAACGAAAAAGCTAACAAGAGTAGTTGATAAAACGCTGTTCGTTCACAAAAGCTTTACGAATTAGACGTTGCTCAATTCGGAAGTTCATTGGGAGTGGGTATGAATATAATTATTGACAGAGAAATAACAGATCAAAGAGGGATAGATAAATAAAAGTAGATAATAAAAGGATATAATCATTTGGCAATATGAAAACAAGAAATACTAAATACAGCTAAACTACAAAAATTAGGGCGTCAATAACCTGAGACTTATAAAGGACTCGAAATTAAAATAATTAGATATTAGAACGACATTTCACTTATAGACGTCAAGATCACTTCAGAAAACATATCAAAGAATTATCAATACCTACAAAACTATAAAAATCGACATATTTACCAATAAACTGAGAGAAAAATTATATCTTCAATAAAATACTTCGAAAAAGTTATATCGTCAATACAATATTTAAATAAAATAAGTCTCAAAAGTTATGTTTATTCAATACTCCAAATTTAAACAGACATGTATATATTAAATACTGAAAATACACAATTTACATGTGACTATATAGTCATCGAAAACATGTATTTATTAAATCTTCAAACAAATTAACCTTTGACTATATTGCTGTCAATAAACTTGGAAGTTACATTCTTTAAATAAATTGAAGTAAAACTTAATATTCAAAGTAATTACTATTTTAATGGGAATAAGCCACAATTAAAGTTTAAACTAAGTTTATTGTCGTTTCAATTTCCACTTCGGTAATCGTTCTCAAAATACAAAAAAGGTTTATAAGTTTATAGGTTTAAGAAAATAGCTTCAGAACAATTAGTATTGAAATTAATGTAGTTAAATCTTTTAAATTTCTCAATGCAACAATCTGACTACAACCTGAAATCGAATCAAGAAGGCCTTTGTTTTGTTCGTACTACAATTACGTTACAAAATTATACATTACACCTAGTAATATACTTGTCAAAAATAAAAAGTTCCATAAAATAAGACGGATTATCCACGCAAAAAAAAGTTAATTAATATTTAAGCACTCACATTAAAAGTTCATTGCCTCCTAGAATCACAAATGCCAATCACGAGAGCAACAGGTGCGTCCCGGTCGGACTTTTTTATAACCGCCAAAATATGTTGAATTGAAGTGATGTCGCCTTTGGCAAAAAATCGATAAACAACAAAGGGCAGGAACCTCGCATTGAATGGGCGGGTGGCCATAGAGATTTCGATGGAAAACTAAGAACTGAACTAAATAAGTCTGTACATATCATTTCTTTTATAAGTTCGGCAGAGTTAATTACATTTTGAGGGGTGTACTGTTGTGATAAAAGTGAAGGGTTATTACCATGAGAAAATCTAAAATTGTTATCTTAATTACGCCAGAACTATAGTGTATTTTTATGTATGAGAGAGTAATAAAACAATAAATTATGTATGCAAATCCCTAAACTGTTGATACGGGTGACTCAATGAAAAACAGATATTTGTCAACAAGTTTACAGAAGTATATAGGAAAACAATTTTAAATTGAGTATGACCACCAGGTATAAAGGTTGGAGCAGAATAGAATACAATAGTTGTGAGGGTTACTAATCCCTAAATAAGGTTGCCAGTGTCGGAGTGATGGAGGTTAACAGGTACTAATGAATTTGCAAGAAATGTAAGATGTTTATTTTATTGGTTATATATAACCAATAAAAGTTTAATAAGTACCTACCTATTTGCAAAATAAAGTTTAATTCTTTAGATAAAATAAAACGTTTTATTTTATCTGAAATGAGTGCATTCCACGAAGTAAGGGTTTCAACAATCAAACATTTAATTCTTTAATTCCAGGAATCTACGACAGTAATTGACTAGATAATTACCTTCTAAACTTATTCCACAGAAAATGTGATAGTGGGTTTTTCCATTTTGTAGGAAGGTCCAAGTGGCGTATTCAAAATTCTTAACAGTTCACTAAAAGTAGGTACTTCAGTTGCAAGGTGCAGTTTATTGTGTATACTAGTGTTATGGAAAATTTGGAAGTGCCGTGTAAACGCCGAAAAATTGGTCCTTTAACAGTTAATGAAAAAACATTAATATTTAATTGTTTTAAATCATTTACAGACAAACGTTTATGTGAAAGTGTTGATGAGACCGTTGAGTTAGTTAGCAGTACACTTGGTGTTGGGAAATCTACGATTTACAGAGTTATTAAAGAAGAGAAATGTGGTAGTTTTCAAATGCCACGTAATGCTCCAGGGAAACCAAAATTTCAAATAGAATATCATTTTAAAGAAGGACTTCGACGGAAAGTGCATGAATTCTTCTTTAGACAAGAATTTCCAACATTGGATAAAGTTCTTGTCTCAGTTCGAGATGATAAGGATTACCCAGAAATGAGTCGAAGTACGTTATGGAAACTTTTAAAAGAAATAGGCTTCCGCTGGAAAAAGAATCCCAGAAAGTCTATTTTATTAGAAAGAAGCGATATTGTCATATGGAGAAGACATTTTCTAAGAACCATAAAGGAAATGAGAAACCAAAAAAGAAAAATATTTTATCTTGATGAAACATGGATCAACGAGGGTCATACACCAAATAAATTTTGGCAGGATGAAACTGTTACAAGTCAAAGGCACGCTTTTGTAAATAACTTATCTACTGGTTTAAACCCACCATCAGGAAAGGGACGCAGGCTGATAATAGTACACATTGGCAGTTCAGACGGTTTTGTTGAAGGTGGTTTATTAACTTTTGAATCAACTCGTACCGGTGACTACCATGAAGACATGAACGCTGATGTCTTTCAAGAATGGTTCGAACAAATGATAGATCTTCTTCCTAAGAACTGTGTAATAGTAATGGATAATGCAAGTTATCACTCCAGACTTATAGAAGGACTGCCCACAACCAAGTGGTTAAAAAAAGACTTGCAGAATTGGCTGAGTTCAAAAAATATTACGTACCATCCCGGATCTATAAGAAAGGAACTTTATTCGTTGTGTGCCCTTCATAAAGAAAAATTTAAAAAATACGAAATTGATGAAATTGCCAAAAATCGTGGAATGACAGTACTTAGATCCCCACCATATCATTGTGAATTAAACCCGATTGAACTGGTATGGGCACAGATAAAGAGTGAAGTTTCAAGAAAAAATACCACTTTTAAAATTCATGATGTTAAACAGTTGTTTTTGGAGGCCGTAAATAATGTAAAACCTGAAAACTGGGAAAAGGCAGTAAATCACACTATTAAAGAAGAGGAAAAAATGTGGAAGCTGGACAATATTACTGATAAAATGATCGAGCCAGTTATTATAAATCTTGGTTCTGAAAGTTCATCTTCTGAATCTGATTTGGATTTGTAACAAGTAGCTGTAAGTTTTATATTAATATTTTTATTCATCTATTTAACATACCTTAGACGGTTTTAAAAACTCTTTTTCTCTTTTGTAATTTTTAAAAATTAAAAAAAATGTGAATTTTTTAAAACCCTTTTTAATGTAGGCCAGTCAGTTCTAATATAGTGTGTGATAAAAGAGGTCACTTTTGTTTACATACACATAACACTTTATAACACTGAAATAATTCATTTATTTTTTACAATTATTCAAAGTAATTTTTCAATTAATCTTGAGCACGCCCATGGAGTGGTCGGAGGTACCAGTTAAAATTATGCTAATTACTCTCTCGTTCATAAAAATAAACTATAGTTAAATCTTGAGAGAGAATAAGGGTAGGATTAATACTTAAGTGAAGTAGTGTAAGACGAGAACGTGCACTAGTTCATGGGAACCTATAATATTTTAACCCAGACAAAATTTATTATAGGAGCTGAAAATACAAATATTTTAACATATAACCGTCAAAAGTTTTAAATTTAAGACAATTGAACTGTTACAAACATTGAGTTTTAATTCATGCTGATCATGTATTTGATTTATTTTGTTCATTAGATGTTGTAGTTCTACGCAATTAGCCAGCACTAAGGTAATCGTTGGCGTATCTAATATTATTCACAGTTACACCATTCACAATAATACTTTCCGTTGTCTCAATTACGACTTCCCTAAATATTTCCTCTGGTAAAAGTTAAAGAGTAAAGGCGAGAGCATACCACCATGACTCAACTCCTCTTTTTATATGTATTTCATCTGACAGTTATTGTTCAACTTTTATTCTTACCACTTGATGCCAGTATACTCTAGTCAGTAAATATCAAGGTATAAACATGAGTTAGTGGTTGCGTTAAGGCTTTTGAAACAGCGTTTTTCGTTAATTAAAGTTTTTAGTTTTTCTCTAATAAATTTTTAAGTATCTTTGGTTTGTTTTTGTTTGTTTTGTCATCTTCACTGTAAAATAGATAATAATAATGCTAATAATGCTAAATCTGTAGAGATGTTAAGGGATAACCGAACGTGCTCAATTGACTGTCTATCGTAATGTTATACGTTACAGAGGGATTGGAGAATATATTAGGAGGCAGGGTCAAGGCAGAAAAAGCTCAAGCACCGCTGTAGATGATCGATTTATAGTATTACAAACACTCCGAATCAGTGTCAAACACCAGTTTGAATAAGAAACGAATCGAAAGTTCTTGTAACCCGAATAAATGAGCATAGGTACAATTATAAGAAGGCTTACAAAAGATAGTTTTAAAACATACTGGTCAAAAACAGCCCCAAAACTTCAGACACATCACCAAGTAGCGCGTATAGCCTTTGGTAGGAACTGTTCGTGCTCAATTATGGTAGAAAACTCAAACTCAACTGCAGATCGTTACAGTACTAACATTCTGCAAGATCATGTGATAGATTGTCCGCTTAGTGGTAAAAATTTTCTCTTCATGCAAGTCCATGTCTTGCACATGTCTCGTTGAATAAGTTCAAGTTTAAACCAAGTGGGAATATCGGCCGTTAACTGACCCGCATGTTCGTCGAACTCAAACCCTATTAAGGGAGAAGACTACGGTAAAGAATTCCGGTTATTCAAAACACTGATAAAATGTGAACTGCTCTTCTATGGGATGTGTGCGTCAAGCAATGATCGGCAACATCATTAGAAGGATGTTGCAATTGTAAGGGTAAGGGAAACACATACATTTTTTAAAAAGTTATTGTAATTATTGTGATTCACTGCTGAATGTTTAAACCGTTTTCAAATATAAAATTGTTTTACAGATACCTAGACTATTATTACCGTGTATTGATACCCTGATAATCGCCGACCTCAAAAGTATATTATTAATATCTTACATACCAATAATGTGTTTGGGCCTTTGATATTTTTATTTGTATGTCGTTTTGTAAAATTCATATTGGGAGAACGATTTCCGAGGTGGAAATGGAAACTAACTTATAATTAAATATTTTTTACAGTAGATCAATTCCTGTACATGCTAACAATAAAAAAAATTATCATAAAAGTGACTAATCATGGGAAGCATAGCTTTCTTATCAGCTAAGCACAGAGAGATGGTTTTATTTAATTTAATTTATTTATATTATTTTATTAATCAACACGCATGAGACTGCGTTAAGTATTCCACGTAGTATGTGGTCGCACGATTTGTTGTTACAGGTTTTATTTTTTTTACACCTCTGCGCGATCCACCGCTCCATCCGTAGTCCGCAATAAGAAAGCTATGCTTCCAAAATACGTTTTTTTCTTGTATTTTAACCTTCAACGTATTTTCTTGTAGGCCTAGTTATATTGCCACTGCTCAAGAACCATCTAGAACATATAGACCTTATTCTAGGAGCTCCTCGTTGTTAAATGATTACGTCAATGTGCCCAATCGCTACCAGACTTATAGTTCCAAAATTGGTAGACCTATTTCCTCAATGTATTCCGATTCTGAAGATAATACCATTGATGATTTGTTGACAACTGCTAAACCTAGAAAGTAAGTAGATTTGAAGATATGTAGATTTTAGATTCCAATAGGTGGTCTCCTTTCACACTGCGACCTTATCGATATTTGGTGTATACTCTACACGTATGTTTTATTATGAAAATCTAGACGTCTAAGAAAGTCTATTATTCGTTTAGTAGAACCCTTTTACCTAACTAGGATCTAAGAAGAACTGTCTCTGGTATTGAAGCCGTAGGTGCACAAGTACCACTCAGGGAAACATATTTTCGATCGTTGCTCTGTAAGTTGCGCTGTTATAAAGATAATATCTGAGTGAAGAATGTCCAGTGACAACACCTGCTATTACTCTGATTTGAATTTTCTAAAGCTCTAAGAGTAGCTGGCTGAAGGTTTTAATAACCGTTTTGCTTGCTATTGGGTTGGAATATTTTTAGTAGACTGTAATTTTCATTCCCATTTTTATGTATCAAGCCTATCAATTATTTCGTTACAAGCAATTATTGTATGCCCTGGTACTGATAATATAGTTACTTTGTTATTGGTCGCCAATTCCTTAAGGAAACGTTAGCCGTTCCAAGCTGGTATGGATAGATTAGTTATGGACTTTAAAGTCTTTAATTCAGCTTGACTGTTAGAGACTTCAGTGTATGTAATGGTAATACGTATTAATATTTTAATATAGTATACTCTTGTGATTGACAATAAAAATTTCATTCTGATTAAACAAAAAATCAAAAAATAATTGCCTGCAGAAGCACAAATGTCTAGAAAACAAAAAATGAAATTAGTCATCCAAAGCCTCGCGTCGTAACTGGTCAAAATTAGCCGGAATCAAGTGTCAATCATGAATTCTCGGAAATTTTGAATTCGGCCATTGGCGACGCGTAAGAAAATATGTTTCTTTGCTGGAAGTTTTTATAGAGTCGCGGATAATCTGCTCGTGTATTAGCTGGAATTGACTATATACCTGTAATATGTAAAATACTCAAATTAGTATATTTATTATTTCAGCAGAATATAATTTTAATTTTCTTCGAGTGTCAAAATGTGTTTACACATCAAAATAAATATACAACAGATCAATCAACAACTGAATCAGCAGCTGTTGATTGATCTCATTTTACGTTGATTTCATTTTACAAGAGTTATAAAAAACTGAAAATTCCGCCAAAGGAATAACTGGAATACCATAAAGCCGGATTTATAAACGGACATAAACATAATTTTAGTCTTTAACCATAATCTTATTATATAAGCATAATGTTGAAAGTTAATAAATAAATGTACCCATTTAAAAGCATTCATAATACATAAAACATAAATTTAGTCCTTAAAATGTGACCTTCAAAGTTGGTAACTTTCAACATTTATGAATTAAGTATTAAACATTATGGAATTGTTGGAATATGCGCATGTGTAATCCAACGTAAAAAATTAAAGAACTGTTTCTCATCCCATTCCTTATCACGGTTTCTATTTATGGGTCTTACACTATACCTTCTTACTCTTCTTTGCTTGTTAAGAACTATGGCAGATATAGTCGCTTCAATTGTTAAATAAAGTGGGACTGCTGCCATGGCCAAAGCAACTTTTCTATTAATCTTCATATTTATTTAAAATTATTTCACTTTTCTATGAATCTAAAGACCAGAAAAAATTCTTCAAGATCTATAAAAATTTGGTTAGGTTTGTATTTTCTGAAGTAGTTTTTAAATATTATGGTTAGGTATTATGTCTAGTTATAAACCAATCTTAAATCTTGTGAATTATGATTGTGGTTAAAGTTATGTTTATGACTTATGATTATGTACTATGTCCGTTTATAAACCTGGCTTAATATGTTAATTACATATACAGATTAATTCCATAATTTTTATTTACAATTATACAAATTTTATAACACTTAATTTGTGCAAAATATATTTGCTATTATCTTTAGAAAAAGTAATTGTAAAAAATAATAAGTACAATTCAATAAAAATTAATACTTATAGATTGAATTTTCAATTAAAAAATTAATTTTTATCAAATTTATTATCAATACATTAAGGATGCAAATTATTATATTATAACAATTTACATAATGAGTGAGTGGGAGTCTGGTGTGCTGAGTGAGCTAGAAAGTGCTCTTTTTTGTCTTTGTATAAGTTCACCAGATAATTTGTCTAAAGTAGTAATTATGAGGTTTTTTTTGCCAATGAATGTTCACCGATAGATTGAGGAACATTGGTGTTTTGACAATTCGTACAACTTGCAGCTGTATGGTAATTACTATTTAACTGGGAATAAGCCACAAATAAAGATAAAAATACGTTTATTGACGTTTCAATTTCCACTTCGGAAATCGTTCTCAAAATACAAATAGTAAATTAAACAAATTTTGTTTTTTGTTACATAGTGAAAAATTCTTCTAATAATTTAATTTTATCTGACTCATTTATATTGACAATTCAGACATACATTATGCATTTTAAAGTAGACGACTTTAAAATGATACTGCCAATATTGTTGAGTTGCGCTCCTGGGACGACTTTACTTATAAGATAGTTCATTCGATTACATGAAATCAACTTTAACTTGAGAATATCCGTCAGAAAAAAATCATAGCATGTAATTCGTCTTTAAAAAGACAAACACATGACATGATGACAGTAAAATTCTCCTGTTAGTGATTCCATAGTAAATTATGAGGGAAAAACCAGGAAAAAAACCTCATAATACTATCCCGACATTGTAAGTATTTGTTCGTGAATTTAGTTTACCTTCAACAAACATCAAAATTCTGATTTTATATGTTACGTTATTTAAAAAACATAAGTGATGTATCCTCTATATGTTACTGACTTACGAATACTGGTATTTTCTTATTAATAACTTCCTCTTTCAATATTGGTAACCAGATCCTACTACATTCTGCCGAGAAATTTGCGACACAATTGGCCTCATTTAGCATAATTAGAGCCGCTTCTTTGATTTTTCTTTTTTTATCTTTATCTTTATTTTATCTTTAATTGTGGCTTATTCCCAGTTAAATAGTAATTAATTTACAATGCCACAAGAAAATAGCTTCAGAACAATATTGCAGCTGTATGGTCAGTTTACTTACAAATAAAGCATTCCTTCTATCAGTACATAAAATATACGATATGGTGTGGAATCGAATTCAATGACTAGTGGTCTGAAGATCATAATTTTCAGTAGGTGGAATTATTTATACGTGTCTTCGAAATGGGAGGATAGTTTTAAACTAAAGAGTTTTAGAGAAGCGAGTTTTAAACTAAAACCTTTTAAAGCATTTTCTACGAGATCTTGAAGAATTGAGGGACAAACGATCGAAATTATGGTACGTTTTGCTGGAGCATTGCTGGAGTAACCAATCTCTTAATAAATAGGTCTACAGCGTTTACTTTAATAGTGGAATTGTTGGTAATAAGCTGGTCAACAAGTTTAACTTTGCTTAGGTATGTAGATCCGGTTGTTGGAGATTCGAGGTACAAATATTACACTTTTAGAGCCAACAATATCACCAGTGGATTTTACATAGTCGAATAGTTTTATGTTTTCTAATATGTTTTCTAATGAGTCATAAATAATTGCCTGCTCCTTTTTAAAGTAGGAAGGTTTGGGTCTAGATTTCATAGCAGCAACGTAAGATGTGGGTGTTGAAGATTCGGTGTTACTGGACGTAGGCATTGCTGTGGTATTTTCTGTGAATTTATTATTCATAATTTTATTGCATTTGTAGTCAAAAGTAATGGAGTGATCAAGATTAATGTTTATATTTCTCCTGGACCGTCCACAAATAACAAACTCATATTGTAAAATGTGCTGTCTATATGTATTGGTTTGCAAAAAGTCTAGAGCTCTTGATAGAATAGGGATGTTCACAAAAAATTAAATAGTTATTTCAAACATGTAAAACGATTAAGAAACACCCTAGGAATAATTGTCTAAAATATAAAAAAAAATTAAACAAGCCTGTCTATAAAAAAACTGTTTAGAAATCTCGCAATAATTTAAATTTCAAGAACGCTTCTCTATTGGCCTGACGTCACTAGTCGTACACTCTTACGCGCGCCATTTTCAGTGTTATTGTTTACCCTGTTTGTCATTATTTCATGTAATTTTATTTGGTTTTCTTCTTGTTTTATCACCGTTAAAGTTGAGTTTTATAGTGAATTTGTGTAGTTTAAAGTGGATAGACTGTTTCTAAGCATATATTTTGGGTGGTGCAAATAAATAAATAAAATGGAGAAGGTTATCAGAAAGCTGATTCACATAACCTACCTACTGTAGATGTTACAATGGTATCTGATTTCTTGGCATCTTGTAAAGAAATAAATCAACCACAGAGTAGTGGAATCAAAACAGCCAGTGAGTATTATTTTTAAATAATAATTATCCATTCCAAATCCATCGTTATACCTTTAATTGGCTTTTATTGCCATTGAAATATAGTTAGCGTTCAAGTCATTTTTATACCTTGAAAGTGAACATTTTTTATTAAAACAAATTTTAAACAATCCAAATGTAACGTTTAATTATTCTACAAACATTTTGTTTGAAGTTTTATTGGTTTCAAATATAAAAAAGCCTTATCAAACCTATGAATAGAGAATATATCTTAATATGAAAAAAGTTATTATTGTAAAATGTAATTCCAAAAATAAGATCATTCTTTATAATAATAATACTGCTTAATGATTTATAATAAATAAAATATTTGTTACAGCTCTGCTTGAGAAAGTTACGGGGACTCAGCCATTGGATATGTCCAAGTAAAGAGGACAGAAAATAAGTGCATAGTGAAGGCAAGAATATGTTCCGAACATAAAATTAGAGACAAGCCTTACTTAATAAATGCTGTTGTCAATGAAGAACTTGGGAAAAACTATTCTGCATCAGTTGTGTAGCTTCTTCTGGAGTATGCCATTGCATTTTTAATGTGGCTCCACCGACGATCTGAGGCGCCTGCCCCTCCAGAAGTGGTATATCACTGGAAGAAAGCCCCATTAGCACAAGTAGGAGCAGATAAAAAGCTATTTGAGAGCTATTAAAACTATTCATATAGGAAAAAAATCAAGAAAAACTCCACAACCACTCCTAACACTGCAGGATTTTTCGAAGATGTGCTAGAAACTACAAGAATCGGAAACTATTCATGTCCTTTAAATGCCAACCATGGAGATCTTCCTGAATTGAGAAAATTATCTGTTTAGCAATTAATGATTGAATTTATAAGCAGTGATTTAGATCAAACAGCTAATAGTTTTGTCAATTTTTGTAACAAGCATGTAAATCCAGATATTATACAAAACATTGAGTTGAACCACACACAAAGTGAAGATTCCCTCTGGTTTGAGCTGCGGTATGGAAGAATAACTGCAACAAAATTATATGAAATGGCTGTTTGTAAGAAATCAAGTGGCTCTCTAGTTAATCAAATTATTGGAGTGGCTAAAAAATTTGATACATTTGCTACAAAGAGAGGGAAAAGGCAGTTATTATGCAAGTTAGAAAAAAAAAATAAATGCAAATATAAAAACCTGTGGTTTGACAATTTTAAGTGAATATGATGACTGAAGATGCTGTTGTGGAGGCAAAGTGTCCTATCTCAGACAAATCATTCCAGAAGTATACTAAAAATAAGGAGATAAGTAAAAAATACTTGGCTCAAATAAATCTTCAATGTTGGCTAGAAATGTTGTGAAAGTGTATTTTTGTGTCGCACATCCGGATTTTGAGACCACAAATGAGTGTACTATAATAGAAGTGATTTATGAGGCAGAATTTACACAAATCTTAATTAAAAGTGCACTTTCTTTTTGGAAAAATAATGTATTTTCGTTATTGTACAGTAGCTGTAAATAATTAAATATAATAGTTTTAAATAATTTTAGTTGTAAATAACTATAGTTAATAAGTTGTTATGGTATTATAATTATGTTAATTCAAGATTATGTATTTGTATGCTTTGAACATGTGATATTATCCTTTATTACTTTGTTTTATATTACTATTAATAAATACTTTGTGTCATTAGACATAATGTTCTGTAGAATTCACTGTTTAATTATGGGCTTTTGTAAGTTAATAATTGCACAGAATCTTCTCAGAATTGTTTTTAGATGTATTTAGATACCCAGGAACAAAACACCACTTATTTGGCTTCATCATCACTGATTAAATACTTAAAGAGCTGGTCACATTTGTAAATACATAATATGTATATTATACAAAACAAGTTGTCGATACGAGTGCTGACGTCACAGACCGTAGCCTCGCCGCGAGGAGCCGTTTTTTTAGCCTCCATCACAATTAAAATTAAGAATTGATTTATTTTAAAAAATATATATTTTTAGACAATTTTATGTTTGCTATGTTTTTATATTTTATATCTTTAATTACTTTTTAAATTGAACTCCTATGCTTTTTAGTAGTTGATAAAAAACTTAAACAATTGTTTTTAAATATTGCAATACTTGCTTGTTGCCTGGAACACTTCGCATGCAGCAATGAAGAAAATATTACCAATCTGTACACAAATGTTTGCTTGTAATTAAATGCTAATAAAACTTGTAGTTACGGTAATAAATTGCAAAAATCGACACTAATTTACAGAGCGATATGTACACGTTCGTAATCACGAACAATCACAGATAACCTAACAACAAAACAACTTATCTGGTTCGGACACATTCAAAGAATGGATGAACAACGAATACCATAAGAAATATTAAAATGGCAACCAGAAGAAAAGAGAAAACGAGGTAGTCCGAGAAAAAGTTGCAGCGAAGGAATAAATAAAGAACTGAGAGAGAGAGGAGATGAGAGAGAGAGAGAGAGAGAGAGAGGGCCATAGAGGAAGACCTATGGAACATCCGGATTAAGTTTAAGTGGCGATTGGAAGTCAGAAAACGGCAGAGAACGTTAAAAACCGACAAGTAGTAGTAGTAGTAGTATGTACACGTTCACTCTCTATAGCCATCTTATAATAATTTTGCAGCATATGTAATTTTGTAATTTTAATATATACCTAATAGTTTTAAATCTAGAACTATTAATGTTTGTAAACAAGCAAGGTGTTCTTGTTTAATAAAAAAATACTGAATATTTAAAAATAATTTGACGATGAGAATAAAATACGAGATATTTATATAAAAAAGACGGTTCAATACTTCAAAAGCCTGTAGAACAATACCACCGAAAGGAATACACCTTATTTTAATTGTATTTCGGAATTTTATTATTCAAAATACTAATTGTTATTATTGTTTAGTTACAGTTTATCTACACCTCCATCCAGGTTGAGTCGAAGGTCTGTTTCACCCGGTAATGAATACTTTCTTGGTCACACGTCTTCCTCATTAGTCCCGCCAAATATGCCAGACCCGAACTGAGTTCACATGGAGAACTTCACCTAAAAAATTATATTTCTAGTTTGGTTTATACAAATTTCCAGAAAAAATTGCTGTCCTTGCCAATTGAAAATACTTTTTGGATGTATTTTATGTAGATCAAGTCAGGGACATTATTGTTTGATGTATTTTTCTCTAAGGAATTTCACTATACCATTTGGTACTCTTTTTATTTTGCAATATTCCCTTTTAGTACTGCACTTTATTTTGCATTGGTATTTTGCTGACATTCAATGTTTAAAGACGATTTGTTGATATTTATTATTGTTTGATTACATTGATTATATTGTTAACACTACCAATGCTTTTTAGTACCTAGCTTATAGGTACTTCTATAAGCGTATACATGGAAGTTAAAAAGAATTGAAGCCGCCAATTATTACTTCTGGTTTTACTGAAGTATTTATTCATTATTTGCATACATTGATTTGTAGCTGAAGCTACGAACTCATCATCTTTTATTTTATAGTCAAACTCCTTATGATTTTAGCTACCAGTCACCTCCCCACAATTTGGATACGATTTTTATGATATAAATGAGGTTGAAGAAAGTATCTACAAAGTAAATTATAAAGAATTGGCCAAATTCTAACTGTATATTCAGAAGGCAAAAATAATATTTTGCTAACAATTATGAATTTAACATTTATTATTTTGGAGTTTGTCATTCATATTATTTACATAAGGTAAATATAATTATTGATCTAATAATAAAATAAATTTTACAAACAACGATTTTACACAACTGTTATACTGTTTCTAACTTACATAGAGACATGATAATAAAGGTTTTTTATGAAATTCAAACAAATATACCTTTTTACAAAAATGCTTAGCTTTTAAAATCTTAGGGCGCAACTTAACGAGCGAAAAAAAAGTTGCCACTTATTTCTTCTGTTTAATATGGCTTATGTGGTGCCATCTACAAGTGAACTCAAATCTAATAATGTATTCTTATTTATTTTATTAAAAAATAGCTATATTCTAATCTCCAGGCGAATTATTTCTGGCTTCTGAACATATAACTAGCTAAAATTTGGCTAATTTTTTCTGACTATTTCTATGTATGGTAGCTGGGACGCTTCCCATTTAAATTCACCAAATATCACACACCGTATTGGTATGTGACATCTTTGATTGAATAGTTTTTGTAAATTAAATACTATAAAATTATAGTGAAGGCTAGATGCGCAAACTATGATGTTTCTGACGTTTTAGAGGTTATATTGTATTAATTTTTCTTTAAAACCATATAATTATAAGGCAGAGTTGCGTAAAACACAGATGTAGCAATTTTTTAGATCGTTTAGTGATATATACACCTCTTTTTCAATAATATTTTTTAATAGGGATAGGACACTTAGCAATGTAGCAATGTTTACTTTAATTATCATGTTCTCTTCGAAGTAGAATGTTGTAGGTGTTGCTAATTGTTTAAAACGTTACCAATGAATAGAACCAGTGAAGCTAGTTAATCTGTGATAGTTTGTGTTATAAATGCAATTTGTACTAAAAAAGAACTGACTGTGTTTTGCATAGCTTTGGGCAAGGGTGATTTCAAAGAGGCAATGTACCAATAAATGTCAAGTTTAATCGTATTTGTACCGTAAACGATATTTGAACAAAATGTATGTGATATTGTAAGGAGGCTATCATTCTAAAAGTGTCGTAAATACATTTAAATCATTTTAAGAAAGTAGGAAAAATAAAAGTACTAGTACGTCTTTGTATTAGTACTTCAATAATACTAAATTTAGTCATATATCTTAGGAAGATCAAAATTATAGTCTATAGATGATGATTCATTAATTTTCGTTTGGATATGCATTCACTTATTGCATATAATACGCTGAGTATTAAGTTGTCCGTTGTTTTTTATGGTCTCGGTAAACTAATGAGTAGTAGGTTGCCTAGTTTAACAGCTCTACCCTTAGTCATTCGGTCCCTCTTTGATCTTTAGGACACTGTACCACAATAAGAAGAAATGGTTTTTAAGTACTCCTTTCATTTTTTGAATGATATTGCTACATTGTTTGTCCAGATACAGCATAGCTAAAAGTTTAAGGTGGATATTAATCATATGAAAGGCAGCTACAAATATTGAGGTGAGACAGCAGCTACCAAACGTTAGTTTATCCTCTTAGTTGTCACGATCAAACGCAACAAGTGTTTCTTTCTCGTACTCCTAATATACTATATTCATTTAAATAAAATTAAACAATTCGACTGTTTAAAATCTGATATTGAAAAATTCTTGTAACTTTCAAAGGAATACTCTAAATATTTAGATTTTGTAGATTTTTAGCGTGGTTACAGTATAAATTATAGTAAACATTCTCCTTATTATTGCGGTCTAAACTCATAACTATAATTGATTGTCAATTAACAATACATTTACTTATATCACGATCTAATTATTTTAATAACAATTACGTAACTTTAAAAAGTAATGAATTCTAAACCATTAGTGTAGTTATTCACATATGCATCGTGTTTTTGATGAAGATGTATTTAAAAATTGTGAAATTGGCACATTTGGCAATACCGCTTAGAAAAGATCAGATGTGTGTATTTGGCCTTAAGTAGTATTTAAAATATTATACCTGTAAAATCTTTCCTTTACAGGTTCTTCCTGTTTTTCCTCCTTACATAAATCATAATAAAGTTTGTACATTATTTTCAAATTGTAATTTTGAGGGAATTTTATTCCTATTCCTCCTATAGGGAACTTATTTGTTCTGCTTGACACATAAAAATTTTCATTGCAATTTCTTATATACTAACCTCCCAGATTATAAAAACATGACACCTCTTTGTTGATACTGAATTTATATCTGGTATCTCGCAGTGAGTGGCATATTAGACGTATTAGAGGTAAACAATGAGTAATTCACTATCCATGTAGAAGGAACAAGGGCAAATGAAGAGAAATTTTCTATTAGCATAGTTTTAGGTAGCTATCAATGGAGTTTAGTGGAATTTCCAAATACCAGCTAATTCATTGCATTTGTCTTTAATACATCCAGATTTGGTTTATTCTTTTAAATTAATAAACCTTAACGATTTGCAAGAATTTTATGGTCTTTACCTGCCACGGAGTGCAGGTAGGCCAGTGTGATCAGTTTGAAAATCTCTCCGGGTCTATTTTAAAATTCCTGGTTTTATTGTGGCGATGAGCTTGTACGATCTACGAGCGCATTTATGCTAATTGGTAATAAGTTTACGTGTAACCCTGCTTTCGTATTACCAGATAAATCTTCTATCAGTGGTTTTGCATTCCTATTTTCTTCTTCCAGATGATCTGCTGGCCTTCATTGGTTTTATGGTCTTTGAGTGAGATACCCAGCATCTGTTGTTTCATAGCTCTCTGAGTTTTTCTGATCTTCTCCATGTCTATTTTAGTGAATGTCCAGGTTTGAGCTTCATTTGCAAGTACAGGTAAGATACAAGAATTAAACACTTTGGTTCACAGTCTTTGAGGTATATTTTTATTTTTAAGTACGTATGAGAGCTTTCTGAATGCTGCCCATCCCATTTTTACACGTCTGCTTATTTCGGTAGTCTGATTTTCTTTGCGTACCTTGACATTTTGACCCAGATATGTATATTCATCTACGTGTTCTATCTCTGTCCCTTGGATGTTTATCATAGGTTTGTCATCTTTGTTTGACATTAGTTTAGTTTTGCTGAAATTCATTTTCAGTCCTTTTTTAGGGATTCTGTGTGCAGCTCCTCAATAAAAGCTATTAATACAGCAATTTTGAAGGACTTTCTAGTATATTTGGCTTATTGCCAACTATTTAAACAGTTAGAGCAAACAGTATATTTTAACTTACCTTCAGTTTCTAAGTTAAGTTCAACTCTCTCTTTCTTTTATAGCATCTTCAAAGAAAACTAGTGTTCACTACCAACTTCCCTTAAAAACACTGTAGTTTATAATAATGTATTACTTTAACAACAAAATAAAATTAAAATATTGCTTTAGAGCAGCAATACCATTACCCATCCAAAATGAAAACAAACTCATCTGATAGCCGGACACATAGTTGGCGTGTAGCTTAAGGAGTTTGCCGCTAGAAGGCAGGATTTTTCGACTCATCACTTAGATCTATTTACTCAACGGTACAGTTATCTTAATATTAAAAAAATCACTTATACTCCTTTTACTTCTAGTGTCCGCAAATAATCTTTTATGACTTTTTAAAATAAGATATATTTTGCTTTTATTTTCTCAAATAATATCTTTCAAACCATACTTTTGTCAATTATTTTCAGCTGTATTGTGTGTGAAAATCAAAGATTAATTCTGTAATTTAAGTCTCTAAAGCATATTATATGTCTTTAAGGCATATTTCCAAAAGCAGCAATAAACTATTTTAAACAGAATGGCCCTCAAAAAGCAACTTAAATATTTGTACTTTTCAACAGTTTATACACAGCCTACATATTGGCGAGGAATTTGTAATTTCCGTACTAAACACAGCAAGTAAATTAACTTGTTTTCTTATTTTTAAAAACAATAAGGAAAAGCTTGATTACTTTGTAGTTATAAACACAGTATTTTGGATTTGAGAGACTTTGAGGGGTATTCATGTTTATCAACAAACTATTATATTATGACACTTTTATAATGATTGAGACGGATATTAAACGTGCTAAAATCATTGTATTACAATTAGTTTTTATTTTGATGATAGTGGACAGCAAATTGATTTTTAAATATCAAATATTGTTGTTTTAAAAATACCTTTTTGATTCTATTAAATTGAGGTTTTTTACTTAAGCTTCTGCTCTCTTTTATTTACTTTTAAGTTCTAAACATTATAGATATTGTTGAGAATTGGACTTTTTTTGAATATTATTCGAATATGCAATAACAATTTCGTTTGTATAGATATTAAAGGATTTTTCGAAAAAATAAAAAAGGATCTTTAAAAATTTCATTTTTATTTTGAATAAACTAGTCAATATGATTTCACTTTTTCGAAAAATTTTAATATAAATGTTTTATTTGCTTTTATAACTTATTGTATTTATCTTTGTTTAGTGTTTTAGTATTTATTTTGTAGGGGTAGTTTTCAGGAATTGAAGTTAATGGGAAATATTAGAATCTGTTTTAATTTTCCTTGTTAATTTATGCGTTTTTTTTTTGTAAATAAAATTTTTCATTTTTTTATTAGAACGCCCGCTTTGAAAATGTGTAAAAGATGTTTAGATATGAAGATTTTTTTTACATATGAAATCAAGCTTGTAATTTTCTTTTTCTTTATGAGGTAAATTTGTAAAAGCTGCAGGTATTTTTTACTCTATTAAAAGTCACAAGAGATGGGGATTTTTGTCAATGCATTGACGAAAAATGCAGAATTTTGTATATTGTAGGCAATTAAGTATACTATGTACGTTCTTAGCCGTTTCTTGTATATTATGTGTTATATAATAATTGTCGAAAATAATTTTCGAAGCTTTAAAATGATTTATAATTTACCAGTCTAGTCAATATTCCGAAAAATAAAAAGTTTCTGTACATTTTGTGCAGTGTGGCGCAACATATTTTTGTACACGAACGTTTAGGTATACAAAGATTTGCGCTTGCGTCAAAAACTTTTTTTATGACTAAAATTAAAACTACATGTTTTTTGTTTTTAGTTTTTGATTTTAAATCCAGAAATCCTAAAAAATTAAAATTATAAAGATTGATATAACCTGTAGAATATGGTTTTTGTTAATACATGAATGCATTACCGGCAAACTGACTAAAAAATATTTTACAGGGTATGTAAATTTTTTTCAAATTTTATTTTTGAAAACCATTCCCGGATTGAAAATCGAAATTTCAAAACGAAAAAACATTTAATTTTAATTACAAATATTGTGTTGTTTATTATTATATTTTAAAATTACACGTTTTTAAAGCGTTTTGCGTGCTGTTTTTCTTTTACGACAGAATGTTATTATTTATATTTGGTATATATTCCTGAAACCTATGCCGAATTGATATAAAATATTTATTTTACTCATAATCCATTTATATCAAAATCTATTTATCAACATTCTCATTAAAATGTAGTGATAGACTACTAAAAACTATACATAGTAGACATTGTTGAAGTTTTAAATAATTTTAATAATAATGTTGCAATATGTATTTTATTGTATTTACTTTTATTCAGTTTACTTTTTTCGATATTTCACTACAAATTTTACAATTGTTAAGTCACCCCTTTACCCCCTTTCTTAGGTTGAGGTTTGTGTGAATTTGTTAGAGTTGTATGTTGACTTTTGCGATTTCATAAAAAATTTCCAGAAATTTTGTGTTTTATTTCACCTTATCATTACACGACAAAATTACAAATGCCAATGGTATGATACTTTTGCTTATTAACCGATGTTCGAATGAAGTATCTCCAGAACTTAGTTTAAATAAATTAAACAATTCATTGGATCGAAGGAAATTTTATCCCCGTAAATATAATATTCTTGAACATAAGTCACTGATTTGAGCTAACCTATGAAAGAGAGAGAGAGAGAGAAAGGGGAGAAATACTTCGAAGAGAAATTCAAAGAGATCGAGGACCTTCAAAATAAATATGATCTGTTTAAAATACACAAGAAAGTTAAAAAAACTGGCAGGACTAAAAAAACAAAATCACACTGGTACACTTCTGGATAGACACGGGAATACTGTAACACAGACGGACGAGAAAGTACTAAGGTGGACAGAATATATCGACGAACTTTTCGATGATTAAAAAGGAGATCTGGAGCACATAGAACTTACGTCAGAAGAAATAGGTCCATATATTACAAAAGAAGAAATATTGCACGCATTAAAAACAATGAAGAGTGGAAAAAGCCCTGGATCTGAGATGCTTCCTATAGAAATCCTAAAAATTCTAGATGGGTAGCACATTGATGTTTTAGTGACAAACCAAATTTATAGTTCTTCTTACCCAAAGAGTGGTTAACGTCGATTTTTATGTCTCCCCAATAAGAAAAACGCAAGAGATCGCAGCGATTATCGCACCATTAGCTTGATGTCTTATGTGCTAAAGTTTCTACTAAAAGTCATCCATAACCGAATTTATTACAAAATGGTAATGACGTTAATGATCACAATTTGGTTTTCGCAAAGGCTTAGGAATTCGTGAAGCTCTTTTTTCACTTAACATACTGATACAAAGATGCCTGGATGTCAATCAAGATATCTTCTTCTTTAAGTTCCATCTTCTATCGAAGGTTGGAAATTATCATGGCTATGCGGACTCTGTTGACTGCCGCTCTAAAAAGTTCTGCACTACTGCATTCAAACCATTCCCTTAAGTTCTTAAGCCAGGATATTCTTCGTCTTCCCACATTTCGCTTTCCTCGGATTTTGCCCTGCATAATAAGTTGTAATAATGCGTATTTTTGCCCTCTCATCACATGTCCCAAGTACTCAAGTTTTCGTCTTTTAATAGTTAATATTATTTCCGCCTCATTTCCTATCCTTCTAGTTACTTCCATGTTTGACATTCTTTGAATCCATGATATTCGTAGGATTCTTCTGTAACACCAAAATTCAAAGGCGGCCAACTTATTCAGATGAACTTGTTTTAGTGTCCAAGCTTCCAGACCATAAAGAAGAGTAGAGAACACGTAACATCGAAGCATAAGTTTAATAAATGATGTACGTGCTATTTCAATACGTGTCTTAATTTCTTTGGTTTGGTCTACATCTGATGTTATCCATGTTCCTAAGTATTTATAGTTATTAACACTCAATTGCAGTATCTTCAATAGTCAATTGGATATTTGCATGTGCAGATTTAGTCATGATCATGCATTTAGTTTTCTTTAAATTTATCTTCAGTCCGTACTCATGACAGCGTTCATTAAGGCGTTGCATTACGTTCTGTAAATCATTGTTGTTATCCGTCATTATTACTGTATCGTCTGCAAAACGTAAGTTATTCAAAACTTCTCCATTGATAGATATACCTTCTATTGAGTCTGAGAGCGCTTCTTGAAATACCGCTTCACTGTAGACATTGAAAAGTAGTGGGGACAGCACGCAACCCTGGCGGACTCCTCTCTGTATTTTGATATTTTCGGTGTACTGGCTGTCAACTCTTACCTTGGCAGTTTGATTCCAATATAAATTAGATATAATTTTCAGATCACGACTGTCAATATTTTTGCTTTTTAATATATCTACAAGCTTTTTATGTTGAACTTTATCAAATGCCTTTTCAAAGTCTACAAAACATAAGTACATATCCTGATTCATGTCCATGCATCTCTGAGCCAGCACATTCAAGCCGAACAAAGCATCTCTTGTACTCATACCATTTCTAAAGCCAAATTGTGTGACTAATCTCATATTCAAGAGTTTTATAATCAAGATATATACGCATGTTTTATTGACTATGAAGCATTCGATAAAGTAAGACATAAACAATTAATTAATGTCCTGAAATCAAAGAAGATTGAGTACAACAACCTCAGGATCATATCAAATTTATACTATAAACAGCGAGCAAAAGTAGGTGTTAACGAACAGCTGTCAGAAGAAATTCTTTTTAATGCCTACTCCGACGAGAGAAAAAGCTCTTGAGGGTGAACCAACATCGAACAAGTGGACAAACATGCATATCTGGAAACAATGATTTACTCCACAAATGATTACATTTAGGAGATCAAAATCAGAATAGAAAAGGCTAGAGCAAATTTCAACAAAATGAGAAGAGTGCTAGTCCAGCAGCCGTCTCAAAAGTCCGAATAGCTATGATGATTGCCGACCTCCGCCGCAGGAAGAATGAGAGCAGTGTCCTATTGGAAAATTATCATTTTTCGGTGTTTGCTTTTCTTTAGTTCTTTTACGCTTTAAATATACTATTTGGTATTTGCGTTTTTAAATTGTTGGTGGATTTCATCGACACAACGACAGCTCTGCTGGAAGAACTAGTAGGCTACTACAGAAAAAATTCGCTTGGACAAACTCAAAGAAAACTCAATTCTGTCCTTATCATCTGAACAAACATCAAGCCAGAAAAAAGCTAAAGATAACATGGCGAGGAGAACTGCACAGAACCAAAGGACTTAGGGCTAAAATTGGATTGCACTCTCACGTTTAAAGATCACCGTGAAGACACAAAGGAAAAGATTTTGTCAAGGAACAAAAACATACATAAATGATTTTAAGCAGTTATTCCTATCAGGCGCGCATGTTGATAGTAACACAAGTTTCGAACCCACGTATTTGCATAGCCATGCTAGGCAAACCAATTCCATAAGAAATGTTAGATACAAAAATAACAAAAGGTTACATATTAATTTAGCGTAAATTTTATCTCAACTAACTTCATTGAATTTTTAACGAATGAATTCAAACTTAGGAATCACACTGTATACTAAGATTGTATTTACTAAAACAAATGACGCGATAACTTCTTTAGACCAAATGGTAACTAATGTATCAAAGAATATTACTAAGTATTTTAATAATTTTCCTGTAGAAACTACCAAAAACAACCTCAGGATCAAATAAATCAAAACTAAACATATACATCTGTTTATGTGTATCAATATACAGCAATGACACATATAAGCATAACAAGGTACGAAGGGTTGACAGTTCTATACCAGTTTGATTTACCGAAAAAAAATTTGCTGTACCTACTTCACTATTATAACTAATAACAACAAAGCTGAATTTAGTATAGGAAGCTAAACTATTATATAATAGATAAACCATATTGTCTATCTGGTGACTAAAATCAAAATCCAATCATTCACCTATTCATTAACAAATCAAGTATTACCCAAATTTAGAAAGAGGAATTAACCTAATCAATCCTGTTAGATTAATCTTCTTCTGACGATGAAGAGTCTAAGTCATTGACAGAATTATCTGGTAATAAGTCCTTTATATGAAATCGACCAAGACGTTTGTTGGAAAAACTATCTTTCAATTCATATATTAAAGGAGATATTACGAATCGCAAATCTCTTTTCCTCAAGTTATACTGACCCTGTGACTTAAGGTAAGAAGTTTTTAATTTCTTCCTGATGTCTGCAAATATTGGAGGTAGAGTCTGTAGATCATCTAAACGGTGAAGTTTATCTGATATTTGAGGGAGATTGGTGGAATTGCCTGAAACTAAACCAAAATAATCACCAGATAAGGCAACATTTCGACCAAAATTTAAATAAGCTGGGGAACACTGCGTAGCTTCGTGGACAGAAGTTCTTATGGCTTGAGCTATGGATTGAATGTATTGATCCCAAGCTCTGTGGTCTTGGTATGATCTTAGAGCTGTAACAATACTGCGGTTTACACGCTCACTATGATTAGCTTGCGGATGGTACGCAGCATTATAAAAGATCTTCTGAACTTTGTATTTAGTTAGAAGGTCTTTAAAAGCCTTAGCTACAAATTGAGGACCATTGTCACAAGAGACAATTTGGGGAACACCAAATATCAAAAAGACTTGCTCCTCCAAATATTTCACAATGGCAGGAACCGTGGCATTACGAAGAGGAAAAACTAGTGGAAATTTAGTGAAGTAATCCACGACCACGAAACAATAGGTATTGCCCTTATAACTACGAGGGTATGGTCCAATTAAATCCATAGATACCATCTGCCATGGGAAGTCAATGTTCCTAAAGGAACCCATTAAACCAGCTTGTGGCTTATTACTTGGCTTGCATGTAGCGCAAACTTTGCATCTAGAAATATATTTCTTAATACAGTTGCGCATACCAGGCCAGTAATATAGCTCCGCTATCCTACTAAATGTTTTAAAGGAACCAAAGTGACCAGATGTCACATTATCGTGAAAAGTACGAAGGATTTCATCCCTATTTGCGGTTGGGACGACAATTTTCCAATCCGACATATTAGTCAAGGCTTCGATTGGACTCACAACATGTTTATAAAGGATATTGTGTTCTACTTTAAAATCAGGGTACTGACCAGGATCATGAGTAACCTTTTCCAACATTTTCTGATACCACGCATCCGGAACTAAAGTGGATAAGTCAAGAAGATTGACATCAAATGTTCGAGACAAAGCATCAGCTACTACAACACCATTTGCCTTACGGTGGACAATGTTATAGTCAAACGCTGATAACTTACAAATCCAGCGGGATAACCGTTGGGATGGGTTACGCATAGAATGCATCCACAACAACGAACTATGGTCAGTGATCAAAGTGCACTTACGACCTTCTAAATAATACCTGAAAGCCTCCAAGCCATGAATTATAGCAAGGAGTTCCCGCTCAGTAGTGGAGTAATTTTTCTGGGCCTTATTGAGC